AGTGCTGGCCTATGTCAAGCATCCTGAGGTGCTTACACCTCCAATCGCCCAATCAGACAATCTGGAAAGGAACTGACAGCACGAACACCACTGACATTGATTAGCCGCCATTTTTTGCAACGTCTCCAGCCAAGCACAGACGGGGTCACGGGGACCACATCCTGGAAGACGTACAACACCGACAATATCCAAACTCTTCGTGACCTAGTTCACGTCTTTCTGCTAAGTCATATGCATTGGAATGTGAACCTAATCAAACTGTTATCGTATTTCCAGTTGTACATTACAGCTCCAAAGTTTCGGAAAGTGACGTCTAGTCTTTCTTTCATCCCAAACGGCACCGTTTCTGTAAGGCACCTTTGCTGAAAAAGTGAAAGCAATCACGCAAGCTCACAGCCATTTTATTTCTATTATTATGAGTCCAAATGGATGGAAATTGTGTATGATATGTGCATCTTCTGACTTTTACTACATTTTTCCTGTAGTAATATTATCTTGCTGACAAAATTACAGTGAATCTTAGAAAGAACAGAAGAACAGGCAAACTGCCTGCGGTAGGACTCACTTCATCTCCTCAGTAAGTTCAGCGAATTTGGCTTCTTGCTTGACAATTTTTTCCTCCAGCTTTTGGTTAGATTGCATCAAGATTTCATACTCTTTTTTTGGAATCACGTCAACGTAGTCAGCCTTTATCTTCGTCAACTCGAACTGCGCTTCAGACAGAGCTTTCCTCGCTTGACTAAAGCGACCAATAAAAGACTATTCAACACTTAAGATTCATAAAGACCAAGTAACATAGTATAAAACCCAGTATGAGTGCAATAAAACAAACAGGAAGCTTATAATACCACGTTACAACAACTTAATTCCATTTCAAATACCGTAGGGAGCAAAACGAATCGAGTTTTACCGATACAGAGGAACTCACTAGCCAGTCGACCATCTTTAACCTGTGATCAAACGGCATTCAAGGGACTTAATTGTACACGGCACCTTTTATCTCCCATATAAGTAGATCTAAATTATAAGCCCTAGAGAAGCGGTGATATCGGGCATCGAGTAAGCCCAAGAGCGAATGAGATATCGAGCCCCTGGGGAACGTAAGTTCAAGTTAGAAAAGCGGGCTGTTACGAGTGAATATTTCTCTATAGAACTAGGTCATCCGATTTATCGACCATTTACCCAATATCGAAATCCCAGATTTTGCGCAGAATGAGATTTCCCTAAACGCCGAGGATATATTCATATGTTTCAATTTTGTTAATCTGCACAAAATCTCGGTGATCGTATATTATTCACCTTGTTGTTAGTTTGTGGCTTCGTTATGTCATTATTTCAAACGAAGCAATATGTCGAGGTGAAAATCTGCTATGAGTACGCCTGATTGTTGTTTCTTGCGATCAATACAAAGTACAGGTTACGAATCGGACCTCAGATTTATCAGTGGTCCCAGAAACAAGCTTTTTATACATTAAACTCAAAAGAAAACGAGTCTAGTAAACTTTTTAACGCATGATGGTGATTTGGTTAAATATGCTAAGGTGGTAACAGTCGAATCGTACCGATCTCAAGACATTTTCTAAGAGGCGGTATAGGCCACATAAGGGTAATCCTACAGGCACTCAAAAATCAACGAAGGACAAAAGCTACCAGTCGAATGCATTTCAGCAAGCGCACAGTTGCGTCAACCGTACGTTTCGTTTTTCATGCGCAAATGGTTGGTTTTATGGTGTTGCTACTTAAAAAAGGTTGCCCTCAGCTTTCAAAACCAGGGTTAACTTACAAGTAATTGGAATCGCTACATTTTACATTAATTAGGCTTCCCGTCAAAATGGCTTAACATAATTTTGTTCGATGAAGAGGCTTTTGAGCAGTTAAACGGATGATAAAAGAGTTGACGACTAAATAACAATATTCAGTTTTAGGGTCAGGATCAATTTTTCCCACAATAATTCCTCAAAATGTTATCTCTTCGTCTGGAAGGCATTCCACCATGCTAAGCAAACCCCGAGGAAATGCATTTTTTAGACGTTGCGGTAATCAAATTGAAGAAAAACTTCGGTTAGTTTGGTCATTCGGTTGTAAGGTGTGCGTAAAATGTATGTCAACACGAGTGATTCAATCAATGTGCAGAAAACCAGACTACATGTTAGATTTCATCATTTAGTAAGCTCAGATGTTGCTTCTCAGTTACAAGCACCCTCGAGATTTCCACCTAATTAGCCTGAACAATGCCAGCATCATTTTAACTGAGAGTGACTGCCTCATAGAGAGCAAAACCCTTCAAAAATCCCCAGAATTTTGGATTGTCCTTCAGTTAGTCACAGCAGAAAGTATTTTTCACCCAACACACATGACAAATGGATACTGATAGGAAAATACTAAATAATGAATAATAATGCACATAATACAATGCTTACTCCAGTGCTATCCGTAAAAGCGCAGGATCTCCAACGTTTGTTGCTTCTTCTCGTGCTTGCTGCGTCACCTTTTGCAATTCGCTATAGTGATTCTGCATGTCGTTTAGCTCAATCACAAGCAGATTTTTTGCATCGGCTTCGTGTCGACATTTCCCGTGTTCCTCCTCCAGCGAGGCTTTCAGCTTATCAATCTAAATGTGTAAAAGTGGAAAATGGACTTGGTATGAAAACTCAAAATTAGAAATGCGTACTTGAACGGATCGGTAGACCCACGTTGTTATGAAGAGGCATCACTGATTGGCACGGGTATGAAGCGGCATCATCTAATATGCTGCGCATTAATTCTGGATGGATGGATGCTGGGGTAGCATCACCAGTTTTCCACCGCGTCCAATCAGATGACGATGATACACCACCAAATGTAGGATTCATAAGTCTTTCTGCGTCATTTTTCGGTCGAAAAGACCGTTGGTCACTGAGAGTTATGAGTTACTGTTTTTTCAATGTATTACTGCTATCATTATTTGGGCATATAAGCTTTTAAGTGAGTAACAGAGGTAACTTTAGCGAGCTCTAAAAACCAAAATTAGTTTCCTGACAAAACTGAAGCACGTGTATGAAATCGATCTCAAACGGCATCATCAAATCCGACGGCAACACCAGAGAGCAACACTGGTGTTTCTTTTCTGTCCAACCAAGTCAGTTTGTTCCTTTATATAAGAGGAGTTGCAGAAAATACAGTGTTGCCCAAATTCACGGTAGAAAACATGATGGCGTGCTCTCTCAGGAAGTTGACTTGTGCTTGAAACTTATCGGGCTTCATAAGTTCGGAAAAAATTGTAAACAATACTTCAGTTTTTTTTCAACAAGAGTTTCGTCAGGACAAGTAAGTGAATTACCTGATTGGCCTAATTTTAGGACATCGGAGGACCAGTCGAAGAGCTCCCTTTCAACTAGCGCAGTAAATTAGTACTGAACCTCAATTGGAAGTTCATGCTGGCTAATGTGGCCTTTTGATTCCAACGACTTCTGGGTGGCAAGAAGAACTTTATGACAATTTTCCTTCATTTCAGTACGCGCCATTCGACGGTTTCCCGTGTGTAGCCTATACAACTAGTATCAGCATGTATGGGATATCGGATACCACGGTTACCTTCAGACAAAGTCCGTCAAATTCGGACGTCCATACCATTGCGCATCAAATTAAACCCAATTCGTGGGTAACTTCCGTTCAATAAAATCATCCTCACGTGAATAGAATACAATGCACAGAATTGGCAACCACGTAGAAGGCTGTGTTAGATGCAACTGTGTGGTGAGAGACTTGCTCGTCTGCGCTCAAATCAATCGGAATTTCTCACGAGGTTCAACCTCCTGAGTTGGTCTAGATTGTACAGTCTCAGACTAAGAAGTACAATTAATCTCAATACCGTTGTAGACATGTTTTACATTTTGAGGGAAATGTTCCACAAACTGTTTGTGTCTGAGGTGAGTATTCGACAAATCAAAGGACTAGGGACATATTACATCGATGTCTCCTCTCAAATATAGCTTTTGCAGCAAAGCATGAAAAACCAACTCTGGAATGCGTCGGAGATCAGAGGACAGGTGAACTCAGCTTTGTCATATAATGAAGTGGCTCCGAAAGACTGAAAAATTACCTCCACTTGCATTGAAATCTGCTCCTCTTTCTTCGCTGAAACTTGAGCCTTTAATCGTGTAATCTCCTTCCGTAGACTTTCCAGTTCTGAAAGACAACTAAACGACAGTAATACAGAAGCTTACCAGGCTTTTCTTGATTCTTCAGCTCAAGGACACGTTGATCGCACTCCTGTTTGATGGTCCACAGGTATTCCTTTAATCAGCTCAAATTCTAGCAAACAGCTTTTACTTACTTGAGCTGGACGCAACTTTTGTACTTCGGTTTTATAGTACTGAAGGATAGCTTCATATTCTTTAGAAATTTGTGCTAGAATGGGTCCATGGGTTTTGAAGGCCGCGATAATCAATTGGAAGGCTTCTTTGAATACCTAGAGAAGCTAATATATGTTTGTAAGGAAATATACCTGAAATCTACCATCTGCATCATCGCTCCGCAACGATTTGAGATTCAGTTGGATCTGTTCCTCCAAGTAACTCAGGAACTTCGGTTTAGGTACAGGGTTGGAAACATCTAAATAAATTCTCCTAGGTAAGTGTCCTAAGTCTTACTCTTCCCCCCATCACTCATCACTTGAAGCCGGTCATTAGAGACCCTAATGCTTGAAGGGTCAAATGCACGTCCAAGAGCATTGGCTGGCCAATCTTCCACATTTTCCATGACAACCATAGGAATTTTTTTCGATCGCCTTGATGACATGTGGCTGTCATGTGAAACGAATGTGCTGAAGTGAAATAACACGCCGTGGATTTTCATAAAGTTAAACATGTATCATTTTAGAGGACTGCTAGGATCTGGACCACTTTTGACTTAAAATGTTTTGTTAGGTTGGCACTGTTTTAGGATGGTATCCCTCTAAATGAATCAGGAGTGGGGGCGTTTGGTGGAAACAAACAAACGGAGGTGAATAATCATGGAATACGTAAACACAACATAAGATAGTCTGAGGATAAACTTGTGCCATCCGACATTGCTTTTAGCTGAGAAGAGTGAGCTGTTCCCCGTAGTTCTTGATCCCATTTTTCCAGGAGACGTGAAAGACTGGAACGTCTTGTCTCTAAAACCCGAAACTTTACTCACTTACCGGTGTTCTGTTGCTGTCAATATAATAAATTATTGATTTAGAAACATTTGCTGCTGGCATACATACATACATACATACATACATACATACATACATACATACATACATACATACATACATACATACATACATACATACATACATACATACATACATACATACATACATACATACATACATACATACATACATACATACATACATACATACATACATACATACATACATACATACATACATACATACATACATACATACATACATACATACATACATACATACATACATACATACATACATACATACATACATACATACATACATACATACATACATACATACATACATACATACATACATACATACATACATACATACATACATACATACATACATACATACATACATACATACATACATACATACATACATACATACATACTACATACCATACATACATACATACATACATACATACATACATACATACATACATACATACATACATACATACATACATACATACATAATACATACATACATACATATGTACATACATATACACACATACCTATATACACACACATACATTGATTACCTAATTACTTACTAGGCGAGCCCCCACAATCAAACGAGTCGGATTTCAGGGCCGTTAGCTCCAGAAACCCTTCCAGTGAAACTTCACCACTCCCGTGTGGATCACACCGTTGGGCCACTGCTGACGGAGGAATATTCTAAACGAACCCGCATTCTCAGGTTTGACACCCTTAAGGCTGTGAATGTACATGAGTATCCATATGACGGGAAGAAGCGTCAGTTTACAACACAAACTTGGGACCTTTGAACAAGAAACTTGTTCATCCGAGGAGAGTAGTGCCGACTGCAAACAACAGTCCATACATTCAGCAAGAGCTATTAAACAACTCAGTGGTGGTTTTGTCGTATTGAATGATGTAAGATTTGCAGAATATAAAAATCTCCTTGAACCTGCAGCCATCGCATCCTCTGGATACCAAACCTTACCGAATAAATAATGCATGCCATCAGATACAAGAATCTTTGTTTGTCATATCACGCCATCCGGAGTTTTTTATGTCAACAAAATAGCTTGATTTTTTCATCCATTCGATATTGATTGCTCCACTGATTCCGAACGCACAGTTTCCTCAAACAGTGAAGGTAAAAAGATTCAGCGGTTCGCTAAGCCACAACCGGATGTACTAGTGAAATCATATAGAGCATATGTTGTTGAACTGCACACTTGAATAGTTGTGTGAACAAGTGGGTAATGTTTTGTGAGGTTGAAGGTCAAATAGAGGTGGATTTTATATAAATTATCTAAAATGAATTTCGTTTTCATGTTGTGCTTTACACAGTGACCATCAACAAGAGACCACGCATACAAGCAGTCACACCCCTCCATCCTGTGCGTCTCTATAATGAAGCATAAATTATCCATCCGACATCAGCCTGTGACAAATGTACCAGCTTTTTGGTGAAACTATGGGGCCCCTTGTCCTTTGATACACGTGAATCAATAGACATCGCTTTGAGGGAAACACGAATTGAGATGATTGCAAGGCAGTGTCAGTAGCAAAGCTACGATAGAAGAACCTAAATTTGTGTGCATCAATTCCTAACAAAAAAGGGATTTGACTGCACTCATAATGTCAGTTTATCAAATACAACCTAGGTGGCTCATTTTAGATAGATTTGCTGCTTGTTGCACGGTCTTCTGATAAAAGGATGACGCCGAACCACCACTTTCCTAAAACCTGTTGGTCTATAAAACAACATCGTCATTCTTAGAAAAAATAATCATTCAAATATAACACACTTTTACTACCTAGCTCTCACGCCGCTCAGGGAAGCAAAAGGGCTGAGACCCTGCCAGGTTTCATAAGCATAAACAGAAGCATTCCACGTGCTAAGGTTAGCTTTGAGCCACGCATCTTACCATCTGTAAGTTTGCTCGTCAAACACTGACCTGTTTCGGTCATGATGATGTCTCTCAGAGAAACTCGGCTTGTTTATCCGGAATTTACTCCTTCAAATAAAGTATGGTTGATTGAGTCATTCATTATTAAACGCCGGCCCCACATAATCAATTTAGTTCAGCATGTTGGTTTCTAATTTATCTTGCTCAGTCAGTGGATTCAGTTCCAAAAGCTACGTGAAATAGGTATGGTGAATGCTATTAATTTTGAATTTACTGCATACCAAGGGTCGATCAACGTAGAACAAGATATGGTGTTTCCAAGGTGTCTTTAACGCATTCGATCTTTATATTTAAGCCTTTATAATGCATTATCTGATAAGACTAAGCACACAGTTTATCTCAGCCGACTCCACGACGCAAGCCCAATTTACATTACAGGCATAGAGCAGTTTGCCTCAACGTACCATGAGAATGCTGAAGTTTTCACAATACCGTTCAAACAGGTACTCGCCTAATAAACACGCAGGGCCAGGACCACCAATTTCGCTAAAAGATATGCCTTTTTAATTACACCAGCTTCACAGGTCATGGACTAAATAACCATTTTGGCATAGCTGTCTTCTTTTTTGTGAACCTCCTTAGCAGTGAATAACCTGAGTGCTATTGATATTACTGAAGTTAACAATGAATCTTCGAATGATGATTGTCAGTCAGCAACTCTAATGGCTGTCTGGGAAGGTTCAGGTGCGACACCACTGTTGTGGCTAGAAATACATTAGTATCAAACAGCAGTGCTTAGTTGCCATGCAAACGTAGAGATGCCTATTAAATTTTGGAAAGAATAGGGAATAGTGAGAACTTAGCGTAAAGTCATATGCAATATGAAATACTTAAGAACAGCGTTCTTGAGTTTTGAAAACGCGTCCGAGTACCATAGTAAATTTATAGGAAATTAGTAAAATTTAGAAACTATTTTTAGAGTGTATCATGACATCACCCCACTATAGAGTGATATAAGAATTGAAGCTAGGCAGTCCCACTGGGAAGCAGTGGTTTGATGGTTACTGAGACCCTTCCGAAGGGTCTATAATCATGTACAGGGATCGCAGAAAAATAACGGCGTATAGAGCAAAACAATTCCACAGCATTTGATCTTAACACAGATGCCTCCTTACGAAGTAAAGTTTATCTAAAAGCCCAGATAAACCATTAGGTTCACATATTAATATGTGCTCAGTGCGGCTCTGTAGGTTGGGTGCCTTTGGATTTACGTTTCGTATGTTGTATTTCGGCATTGCAGCTATCATAGCGTGCATCAGGCTTGCTTCCCAAAAGTTTTTTCTGAAGGAGCCATCTCCGTAACTTTTCGAACAAAGGTCCGAGGATTCATTGGCTACAGACGTCAGAAAGCTTGTTTGACTTTGCCAAAAATTCAAACGGCCTAGTTAAGATAGAGTGCAAAGATGCTTTGCCTAAATTTCAATAGCGCTGGTAGGGGCTCAAAAAAGGATCCAGTCTAATAGACCATGACCATATATGATCATGTGAAACGAAAGACATAGACATACCAGCCTATGGCCAAACAAAATGTTCCTGGAGGTATTCTGCTCATGGATAGGTACATGGACTTTTCTTCCACATTAAATTTTAAATAGCATTTAGATTGCTTCACTAGCAGGTGATAACCCGAGTTCCCTTGTGCGTAAAAGCTGCAAAAGATTTAGTGCCGTCTCTGCTGCACAAGTCTCTCCCCGGTTTAAGCTGGTGTCTCCATTTACAAAGATACCAATGGAAGTTTGTGCGGACAACCATTCTGCTGATTTAGGATGTCATCCAGCAACGTGTTATGATGTATCAGGAAACGTTTTGGTGTTCTTGGTTAGAATGTGCAAAGTTCGGTAAAGCAGAAGTCATATTCCCAGAACCATGTATAACGATTGTTAACTATTCTTAATTACACTACCTGTATTCTAATCAAATCGCCTCCAAAGCACTGCGTACCACTTGTCCGAATTTTTGCCTGAGTTGTGCCTCAGAAACATCTGATTGCGAAAAATGAGAGCTTGCTTCCAAGGCTTAATCGGAAGTTTTATTAAAAGTCTACGTAGGAAAACAGCGTGATCAAAACCAGTGAGTACCCTGCAGAAGGAATGACAATCAAATGTTGAGTCCTGCTGCTATTAGCTAAAGTTTACATGAATGATTCGGTTTCACTACTGTTGAACAACAGGGTTAAAGCCACAAAGAACAATAGCACCCACCGCGCAAAATCCACTACTAGTTTGGAGCAAATGATGATCGGCGCGGAGTTCTGAAAGAGGCATAACATTACGATTTGGGTTTGAAATAAGCTATCTTGTAAGCCTAAACCGAACTTCTCACTTGATTTTTTGAACCCTCCGGTTTATAATGCCGTATAAAGTTTTCCCAATGAACGGGAAGTGGTCGTCTTCCCGTGGCTTTCGTTTCATTAAATCAATTCTATGATTAGCTTCACAAGCTGAAGCTGAACTTATTAAGCGTTTCAGACAACAGAAGTGTGGTGTGGTGTTGTGCGGCATAGAGTCAGTAGTTTAAAGGTACAACTCGAAAAAGTCTGCCTCAACTATGGAGCTAAAAAGTACACAAATACCAGTACAGTCAGCC